CGCAGTCGATGTGTATTCGGCAGCTCTGGAAGTCCTTCCGATTCGTTGAAATCTTTTTTGTTCGAAGAGTTAAGCCTCACGTTTTGTGTTTCTTTCCAGGACCCGGCGTTTCCGCATGTCGTCGTTTAGAAGCGCCGCGAGTTTTCGGTCCTTCGATTGGTGGCAGTTCTCGAGGCTCCCGGTTCTCTCGCTCTGGTGCTGGGCGCTCCACGTTTTATTGAATAGGCAGTAATATTTCTGTCATATTTGTTGAAAAAGCACGTTGCTCCCAAAAACTTAACGGTCCATCTTTTGGGAAATTCAAAAGATTCACGTGGCTCACAAAAATTTTTGAAATTTCTGTACTTTGATGTGAAAATTAAAACTTTTGAAATTCACTACTTGTTATATATTAATTCAGTAATTTTCTTCCAGATTAGCTCCTTCTCAACCCCATGCCATACTTCCGGTCATATCTGCTACTTTGTGAGCGATCCATCAAACGACGCCGAGCCCCCAGTCCTTTTCACCGGAGACACTCTTTTTATCGCTGGCTGTGGACGCTTCTTCGAGGGAACCGCTCCTCAGATGGACACTGCTCTCAACAAGATTCTAAAAGTGCTTCCAGAAGAAACCCTTGTCTATCCAGGTCATGAGTATACTGTCGCTAACTTGAAATTCGCTGCCCACGTGGAACCTCGGAATCCGGATGTTGCTGCCAAGTTGAAATGGGCTGAGGAGCAGAGAGCGAAGGGATTGTTCACTGTTCCCAGTACAATTTTCGATGAGAAGGCAACAAATCCATTCATGAGAGTTGTCGAATCTGAAGAGGTTCAGAAGACAGTCGAGACGAATGACCCAATTGAAGGAATGGCGAAACTCAGAGAAATGAAAAATAATTTTTAAATTTTTTGTATAAAAACAGAATATTTTATAAAATTTCGTAATTTGTATCTCTCCAACCCCTACTAAATGCCTCCCGAGTCTATTTATTGTGATTACTCTATAGTTGTGACCCGGTTCAAAATAAACATTTTAACCTTTTTTTCAATTTTTTTTCCAAATTCCGCCGTTTTATAATCGCTTGTTATCTTTGTCAAATCCAGAGATGTTCGAAATTATCTTTTCGGAATCTTCAAAAATTTGGAATTTTTCGATTTTGGAAAATCGGACCATTTCGATCCTGGAAATGCGAAAATTTTGGAATATTTTGATTTTGAAAATTACGGAATTTTCAAAATTCCTAACGATTTCGAATTTTTCCAGTTTTGAGAATTTTCTGATTTTGAGAATTCCTAAGTTTCGGGATATTTCGATTTTTGAAATTTCAGAATTTTTTGATTTCAAAAATATCGAATTCTTGAATTTTTTTTTCGGAATTCCAGAAAGATCCGATTTTTAAAATTACGAAATTTCGGTATTTTGGAAATTCCAGAATTTCGAGTTTTCTAGTTTTTGATAATTTCGGAATAATTCGATTTTCAGAATTCCCGAATAATGGAATTTTCAGATTTTCAAAAATTTTCCAAATTTGAAAATTTCGGAATTTTCAGATTTTTTGAATTCCTGAATTTCGAAAATTTTAAAATTTCTTAGTTTTTCGATTTTGAAAAGTTCGGAATTTTCTTCTAAATTCCACTGTTTCTATTGAAAAATTAGGAATTTTCAACATTTAGTTTTCAAAGCAGATATCCCATTTTCCCATCACAAAATCACCGAAAAATGGGGGTACGACGAATTCGAACGTTTTCAAAATCGAACAGATTCAATTCAGAACAGTCCTTTTTTCGCACACGTACCAGAACAGAACGCGGACAGAATCGAATTGTTACAAGTTCGAACTGGTAAAGGGTCGAACTGTCCCAAATTGGAACGCTGT